CTTGGTTCCAGACCAACAAGATTGACGTTATGAAGTGGCCAGCCCAATCCCCAGATCTTAACCCAATAGAAAACTTGTGGAGTGACATCAAAAATGCAGTTTCTGAGGCAAAACCAAGAAATAGAGAAGAACTGTGGAATGTAGTCCAATCATCCTGGGCTGGAATACCTGTTCCAGAAGTTAGTTGACTCCAGGCAACATAGCTCTACAGCAGTTCTCAGAAACAGTGGTTATACAACTAAATATTAATTAAGTGATTCAAAGGAAAGCAATATCTTCAAACATTTTTCAGTTTATATAGTGAATGTTTGAGTTTGTAAAGAAGAATACAAACACTGCTATTTTTCTGAACAGTCTAATATTCACTTTTCTTCAATTTTTTTAGAGTAACAACACAAATTTGATATATTTTTCTTCATGTTTTGATTTGGAATAGAATGTGTAGTGTTCCCAATGCATTTGTGTGTATGGAAATATAAACTATTAGAAGGATTTTGAGCTTTGTTCACTTTTTTCAACACACTGCTATTATTTTGAACACAACTGTATGTGTTGTGTGACAACATAATGAGACATTTCTTAGGTTCTGTGCATCAAATGAAGACAAAAAATGTATCTATATGAAGCTCACAGGGGACAAGGTCTACAGGTATCCAACTAAGAGTAGAAAGGAGAACAGAACTACAGAAACTATGGGTCCATTGTGATCTTATGGTTAGGATGTACATAAAGGCACAAAAGGTAAAAAGGGCTGTCCAGGACCCTTTCAACATAAAACAATTCATATTTTACAACCAGAGATAGCGATTTAGACAACAGAAGCAGAGTCTCAGGACACCAATGCCTTAGAATTAATTGGAGCATAGCTGGTGGGCGTTCCGTCTTGGCAAGAGCAGTTTTGGTTTTTGAGGGTCCCCCCAATCAAGGCTGATCCAGTTTGGATGTGGCAAATTTAGGTAAGGTAAAGTGCCAAGCCAGTCCTTCAAAGTGAATGGTTCAATCCAGAGGTATTTCAGAAGTGCCAGAATATATCTGCCTTAGTGTGGAAAGTAAAGGTGACAGGCTCCTTCCTAACAACCAGATGAATTGGGTATCCCATTGATATGATGCTAGCACAGACCACAGCCTCCCCAGCAATGCTTTTAGCATCATTCACCTATGCAACGTGTTGTGGAACAAATCCAGGCGTATTTGTAGTTGATTGACATCAAAATCGATCTGCAGCAATTGCCAAGCCTTTGGGATCTTTGGGTTCTGCCAACCACTCAATGGTCAATTTCGATCTCATCAGCAGTGACGTCACCCTCGAGATTATGGAGGATTTTCAACATGGTGTCTTAGCCTCTCCAGCAAAGGTTTGAACACTGCTCACCCACATAATGTGTTGTGGGACAAATCCGGGAGTATTTGAAGTTGAGCACTATCAAACTCGATCTTCCACTATTACCAAGCCTTTCTCATGAGTTTGTCTTTCACCATTAAGAAATGTATATGGCACAAAACATCACAGGGGTATTGGAGATCTTCCAACCACTCTATGGACTCTGTCAATTTTGATCTCATCAGCAGCGACATCACCCATGAGATTACTGAGGATTTCCAGCACAGCATCCCTTAATTAAGATGGAGGAGTAGCCTCAGGCAACCCGTTGATGTGGATATTATTTCTCCTGTTTCTATCTTCCAAATATTATATTTAAAGCTGTAGAAGAATCAGGAGAGGAATGGTAGTTTACTACTGTTGTTCCAGTGCTTGCACCTGGGTAGTGCGAAGTAGAAGCTTTATCATAGTTACATAGTTACTCTGGCTGAAAAAAGACAACAGTCCATCCAGTTCAACCATAGAAGAAAAAAAAAAAAAGTTATCCTATACCCACAGTTGATCCAGAGGAAGGCAAAAAAAACCCCAGCAAAGCACGATCCATTTTGCACCTGCTGGGAAAAAAATTCCTTCCTGATCCCCCGAGAGGCAATTGGATATTCCCTGGATCAACTTTACCTATAAATGTTAGTATCCAGTTATATTCTGTGTATCTAAGAAAGAATCCAGGCCTTTTTTGAAGCAAGCCACTGAGCTGGTCCGAACCAACTCATGAGGGAGTCTATTCCACATTTTCACAGCTCTCACTGTGAAGAAACCTTTCCGTGTTTGGAGATTACATTTCTTTTCCTCCAGACATAAAGCCTGCCCCCTTGAACTCTGTGTTGACCTCAGGGTGAATAGCTCTACACCGAGTTCACTATATGAACCACTGATGTATTTATACATGTTGATCATATCCCCCCTTTAATTTCCTCTTCTCAAGAAAGAATACATTCAGTTCCTCTAATCTTTCCTCATAGCTGATCTCCTCCATGCCTAGTATCAGTTTAGTTGCCCTTCTCTGTACTTTCTTAAGTTCCCCAAATATTCTTTGTGTGAATTGGTGCCCAAAACTGAACTGCATATTCCAGATGGTCTTACTAGTGATTTGTACTATGATATCTCTCTCTCTGGAGTCTATACCTCTTTTAATACAAGAGAGGATTTTGATCGCTTTAGAAACCGCAGCTTGGCATTGCATGCCATTATTAAGCTTGTAATCTACCAGAACTCCCAGATCCTTCTCCACCATTGATTCCCCCAGTTGTACCCCCCCTAGTATGTATGATGCATGCATATTCTTAGCCCCCAAGTGCATAACCTTACATTTATCAACATTAAATCTCATTTGCCACATAGTTGCCAAATTAAACAGTGCATTGAGTTGGCATGTAAGTTGAAGACATCCTGTAAGGACGTTATTCCACTGCACAGCTTGGTGTCATCTGCAAAGACTGAAACGGGATTTATAATCTCAGACCATATATTGTTTATAAATATATTAAAAAGTAAAGGTCCCAACACTGAACCCTGGGGTACACCACTGATGACCCCAGACCATTCAGAGTATGAATCATTAACCACTACTCCCTGAATACAATCTTTTAGCCAGTTTTCTACCCATTTACATATGGATTTTTCCAAGCCCGTAGACTTTACCTTACACATTAGCCATGTGTGGGGAACTGTGTCAAATGATTTTGCAAAATCCAAGTATACCATGTCCACTGCCACCCCTCTGTCCAAGGTTTTGCTCACCCCCTCATAAAAAGAAATCAGATTTGTTTGACAAATTCTGTCTTTCATGAATCCATACTGTCTGTTGCTTAAAATATTTTTTTCCACCAAGAACTTATCTATGTGGTCTTTTATTAAACTCTCCAGTATCTTGCCAACTATAGAAGTTAAACTAACAGGTCTATAATTACTTGGTAAAGAATTTGACCCCCCTTTTTAAATATTGGCACCACATTGGCCTTACGGAAATCCAGTGGTACTATGCCAGTCATTAAAGAGTCCCTAAAAATTAGAAACAATGGCTTTGAAATGCCAGAGCTCAATTCTTTAAGGACCCGTGGGTGTATGCCATCCGGTCCAAGTGCTTTATTCACCTTTATACTGTCTAAATATTTTTGGATCATATCAATTGTGAGCCAATGTGAATCATCTGGAGCTGTGTCAATACCATGCCCATTTTGGACAAGAGCTCCCCCATACTCCTTTGTATACACAGAGCTGAAAAAGGTATTAAATAAACTTGCCTTCTCTTTGTCCCCAGTCACCCACTCTATTTTATTATTTTGTAAAGGGCCTACATGCTTGGACCGAACCTTTTTACTATTAATATATTTGAAGACTTTTTGGGGGTTGGTCCTGCTATCTTTTGCAATCTGTCGTTTGTTTTCAATTTTTGAATCCTTTATTTCCTTTTTGCATATTCTGTTATATTCTTTGTAATGTTTAAACGGTGATAGCATTTTTTATTTTCAGCCACATAATTTGATTTTTAGCCTTTTAAACTTGTTGCCCATGGGAATATATTTTGCAGTCTGTTTACATACAGTCTTTTTGAAGAACTCCCATTTCTGTGTTGTGTTCATCAATGCCAATATTCCCTCCCAGTCTAAGTCTTGGAGAGCAGCTCTCAGCCTTGGAAAATTACCTCTCTTGAAATTGAGCGGTTTTATTTTTCCCATATGTGCTTGCTGTTTACAGCTAACAATAAATGAGATCATGTTATGGTCACTGCTACCCAGATGTTCTTTTATATGGAAATTCGTAATAAGCTATGCATGGTTTGAGATTACCAGGTCCAGCAGAGCATAATTCCTAGTAGGGACCTCTATGAACTGTACCATAAAATTGTCCTGTAGTAGGGTTAAAAATGTTTTCCCTTTAACTGTTTCTGCAGTACCATTACTCCAGTCAGTTTCCGGGTAGTTAAAATTCCCCATTATTATCACTGTCCCAGCCCTTGCAGCCCTTTCGATCTGTGCAAGGAGCTGAGTCTCCACCTCCTCATTAACACTAGGAGGCTTATAACAAACTCCAATTATTACCTTTGTAGTACGCACCCCCATGTGCAGTTCCACCCATAATACTTCAGCCTCATCACACTCTCCATCATCTAGGTCCTCTTTCACACTCGCTCTGAGATCACTTCTCACATAGAGACAAACACCACCACCTTTCCTATTTACTATGTCTCTCCAAAGGAGAACAGGTCTTCAGCCATGCATTGAGTTCTCTAATCTCCTGTCTTTCCTGAGTTGCGCATGGCACAGGTAATAGTTCAGAGAATATCACCTTGGAGGTCCTTCCCTTCAACTTGCAGCCTACTTCTTTAAATTGCTTCTTAATGAGCCTCCACCTTCCATGTATTCTGTCATTGGTTCCAACATGAACCAAGGCAGCTGGGAAACAGAACTAGTACATCCACCTCATGAGGGTTTAATAGAGATCTCGCAGAAAATCATAAGTAACTAACAAATGTAACAAATTAATCACTTACATCTAAATAGCAGACAAAGTATATGTATGAACGTAGGTTTTATGACATTTTGCCCTTTTTCAATTTCTGTTATTGTTTGTTAATCACAAATTCTGATTCATTATATTTTTCTAATGTTTCTGGCAGAAATGTATCAAAGTACGTTTTAAGTTGCCTTGGACGTTGCCTTTTTTTCTCGATGGGATTCCATGTTCGCATCTTTGGAAAGCCTGCAAGCTTCTCTGAATCGCCAGTGTTTGTAGTTGCTCCACACTCTTCATTCTTTGATGGGATTGCAGTGATTGCATCAGGGATGCCGTCGACTGTATCCAGAGCAGAAAACATTGCTGTTCCCATATTTGGCAGTAAGAACCAATTCATTTTCATTTATCAAATATACAGTATAGTGATGTGTGATTTTAAAGTGCCCTGTCACTACAGGGTCAAATCAGAAAGAACACATAGCTGGAAAAGAGGATATCTACTTATATTTATGATTACCTTTCTGTTGAATTGCCATTGCTTCATTATTCTCTGGCTTCTGCAGGTATTCCTCACTTCAGGTGTGTAAAATACCTGCTCCCCCCACTGGATGCTGTGGTTCCTGACTAGGCCTCCATCAAAGGGTTGCATCCATATTGCACCTGGAGAGCAGCATCACGGCTCTTATTTTAGTACAGTATGCCTTCTTTTAGTTTAGCAATACTGTAGAAATTAGGTTTGTGGGAACAAAAAATCCTCTTCAGGACATTCGTATGTGTAGCAGTGTGATTATTTATGCACTATGCCCAGATGCAGATTCAGGCTTATTTAACTTCATTTTGCATAGCTTCCTAGGCAAGTCCAGGGAACTGTTTCTAGTTCCAAGGTAAGTCCAAGTTTCTCAACTTCACACTCTCAGCATCTCAGAGGCCATACCTGATGAGGCAGAGATCTGCAGGTAGGTGAGAGGCGCTCAACTCTCAGAGCTAGCATGTGGTAATTTGAGTAGGAGTAAGGCAGCTTCTGTGGAAGACCTAGCTACTGTGGGGAGCCCATTCCCAATTATGTAGTGCTTTTATTCCAGTGGGGTGGCTGTGTGTTCTTGAGCCTGGAATCTCTCCAGCTGTTTTCCTGTGGTACCCGAGCTACCCTGGATTTCACTGAGAAGGATGCTGTTCATAAGGATATTTCCAAGTAGCTGTTTATGTTCTGAACTTTTTTACTGAGGTTGTGATTCCAGGCTTGACTCTCTTACATAGTTAGTCTGGCTGAAAAAAAAGACAAAAGTCCATCCAGTTATATAAAAAAAAAAAGTTATAATCCTAAACCCACAGTTGATCAAGAGGAAGGCAAAAAAAAACAGTAAAGCAGGATCCAATTAGCTCCTACAGGGGAAAAAATTCCTTCCTGATTCCCAGAGAGGCAATCGGATATTCCCTGGATCAACTGTACCTATAAATGTTAGTAACCAGTTATATATTCTGTGTATCCAAGAGAGAATCCAGGCCTTTTTAAAAGCAATCCATTGAGCTGGCCAGAAGCAACTCTTGAGGGAGTCTATTCCACATTTTCTCAGCTATTACTGTGAAGAAACCTTTCCGTGTTTGGAGATTACATTTCTTTTCCTGCAGATGTAAAGAGTGCAGCGTTGTCCTCTGTGATGACCTCAAGGTGAATAACTCTACACCGAGTTCACTATATGAACCCTGATGCATTTATACATGTTGATCATATCCCCCCTTAAACTCCTCTTCTCAAGAGAGAATAAATTCAGTTCCTTTAATCTTTCCTCATAGCTGAGCTTCTCCATGCCTCTTATCAGTTTGGTTGCCTTTCTCTGTACTTGCTTCAGTTCCCCAACTTTCTTTTTGTGAATTGGTGCCCAAAATTGAACTGCATATTCCAGATAAGGTATTACTAATGATTTGTACAGGGGTAAAATTATATCTCTCTCTCTCTGGAGTCTATACCTCTTTTAATACAAGAAAAGATTTTTCTCACTTTAGAAACCGCAGCTTGGCATTGCATGCCATTGTTAAGACTCTGATCTACCAGAACTCCCAGATCCTTCTCCATCATTGATTTCTCCAGTTGTACTCCCCCTAGTATGTATGATGCATGCATATTCTTATCCCCCAAGTGCATAACCTTACATTTATCAACATTAAACCTCATTTGCCACATAGTTGTCCAATTAAGCTGTGCATTGAGGGCGGCTTGTAAATTGGAGACATCATGTAAGGACATTATTCCACTGCACAGCTTGATGTCATCTGCAAAAATTGAAATGGTATTTTCAATCCCAGACTCTATATCATTTATAAACATATTAAAAATAAGGGTCCCAACACTGAACCTTGGGGTACACCACTAACAACCCTAGACCATTCAGAGTATGAATCATTAACCACTACTCTCTGAATACTATCTTTTAGCCAGTTTTCTATCCATTTACATACTGGTATTTCCAAGCCTGTAGACTTTACCTTACACATTAGCCGTATGTGGGGAACTGTGTCAAACGCTTTTGCAAAATCCAAGTATACCACATCCACCGCCACTCCTCTGTCCAAGGTTTTTCTCACCTCCTCATAAAAAGAAAAATAAATCAGATTTGTTTGACAACTTCTGTCTTTCATGAATCCATACTGTCTGTTGCTTAAAATATTGTTTTCCACCAAGAACTTATCTATGTGGTCTTTTAATAAACTCTCCAGTATCTTGTCAACTTCAAATGTTAAACTAACAGGTCTATAATTACTTGGTAAAGATTTTGACCACTTATTAAATATAGGTACCACATTGGCCTTACGACAATCCAGTGGTACTATGCCAGTCATTAAAGAGTCCCTAAAATTAGAAACAATGGATTTGAAATGACAGAGCTCAATTCTTTAAGGACCCATGGGTGTATGCCATCTAGTCCAGGTGCTTTATTCACCTTTATTCTGTCTAAATATTTCTGGATCATATCAATTATGAGCCAATGCGGATCATCTGGAGCTGTCCATTATGGACAAGAGCTCCCCCATGACTCTCTGTTGTTAGTGATAGAGATTATGCTATGCAGCCATATGTTACCCTAACTGGGTCACATAAACATTGCTGTGAGGAGTACATACCTGTATTTGTTCAGCTGTCTTATCATGCAGATGATTACTTATGCTATTAAACATGTATTGCAGGAATTTGGGCACATTTTATTGCAGGCCTTTGCTTGTTGCTATATTGTTGAAACTGACTTTTGAAGGCTAACATCTGGGAAAAGCAGTAATCTGATCATAGGAGTAGTTAATCATATACAATATCTGGGTGTACTCTATACAAAGACAGTATTCAGAAAGCTCCCAATGGTTTTTCTTAGCTAAACTTATGTAAAATAGATGTATTGGCTTTGTCAGTGGGTGTTTTGTAGTCCTTTGTGCTGCAAGCCTGATTCAAAAGTCAGCTTGTTAGTCACAAATCTCCCCTGTGCTGAAATAACATGTGTAATCGGGTAGATGTCACGGACTGGAGTTGTGCTCCCACCGATAAGTGAGCAGGTCACCCTGGTGGATGACACGGGTTCACCTGAGGTATGAGGTCTAAGTGCTAACCAGTATTCACCAGAGCTCTTGATGGTGGAGATGGGCTTAGTTGCATGTTAATAGAAAAAAACTTTCTGCGCTGCTATAGGTATAGATAGGACTATGGAAAAAAGCTGCAAACACCTAGACCTAAACATCGCTAGCACAAGGAACAAATTAAATAAAATAGTGTTGCGCTAATATCAATAATACTAAGGACACAATAATTGGGTGGGGAGACAAAAAAAATAACCCCAAAACAGAGGTGATCAGTATAAAGGCCTGAATCTAGACCTAATTAGGTGCAATATGAACTGTGACAAAGACAACATGAGTAATAATCAGCAAGTGAACATAAATAAATACATACAAATGTATTCGACATAATAAAACTAACACGCCCTAAATAAAAGTGCACAAAAAACATCATGCTAAGAAAACTGTGCCAAGATCAAATTGCAAAAAATATGTGCAAAACTAATCATACAAGGTGCATAAAGGTATAAATGCATGAAACTATAAATGCATCATAAATAATACATAAAAATGTAAAGGCCTGAAACCAGACCAAACCAAGTGCAATATGGATTGTGATGAAAACCATGTGCACAATAATCAACAAGTGAACATAAATGTATTCAACAGCACTAACAAGTCCTAAATAAACAAAATGGGACAACAAGCGCCGTGCAAAGAAAACTGTGACAATCAAAAAGCAAAGAAATATATGTGTAAAACTAATCATACAAAGTGCATAAAACTAAAAATGCACCTTATAATCAGGATTGATGCCAGTGAAAAACACACAGTGGAAATAAACGTGCGTCAATAAGCACAAAAAATAATTAAAGCAACGTGACATATAACAAATAATGAGTGACCATCAAAATAAACATAAGTGATCATCAAATAGGCATAAAGTCCATGTAAATACACCGCCAACTGCAAACGAACAAAGCAACTGGGTGAAATGAATGATAAATCTGTCACCGGCTAAAATGCCTCCTCACCTCCACACCAAGACCCCAAGGGGCCACACAGCTTTCACGCCTCACACTCCCAGGTCCCTTTAGCTTCATGTTAGTACCAGGTTGCGGTCCTCAGGATCGCCCCACCAGGAGGTGAACAAGCCTGGGTCCAGTAGCAGATAAGCAGGTAAGGATCAAGCAGAAGCATAGTCAGTAAACAAGCAAAAGGTCAGTAACTAATGGTTGCAGGTTGGGATTATGCAGAAGCGTAGTGGAGGAACAAGCCAAAGATCGGTAACGAATAGGAGTGAAGATATGAACGGCAACAGGAGAGACAAAATATCAGCTGGAGAGAGCACAATAATCTGGCAAACAGGAAGTGCAGAGACATGGCTTAAATCAGGAAGTTCATGGGAGGAGTAAAGAGTTCAAGACAAACAATGTTCAAGGCAGGATCATCCAGGGAATTGTCTAGTATTCCAGGTGGCTCAACAAGAAGAGTCAATGGCAGACACCGCTGTGGTCCCAGGTTCAAGTCCAGGTCCTGACAGTACTCCACTCCTCCCAGGACATCCCCTTGATGTCTTAGGGCCAGGTTTGTGAGGAAACCTCTGGCGGAATTCCCTTGTTAATCTAGGGGCATGAACAATCTCAGGCTTCCAATAATTCTCTTCTGGTCCATAACCTTCCCATTGAACCAGATATTGTAATTTGTTCCTGGCGTTAAGAATTTTCTCCACCACAAATTCTTCACCCTGTACCTCAACGGGTTGATTAATTCTTCCAGAAAAAGTATTTCCATGAAACGGTTTGAGTAGTGCTATGTGAAAAACAGGGTGAATTTTCATA